TAATCGCGATTAATCGCTTCCAAAATAAAAGTTTTTGTTTACATACTATATATGTGTGTGTGCTGTTTATTTATAATGTCTGTATAAATATACACACATACAGTATATATTTTGAAAATATGTACATTTACATATATTTAAATATAAACATCTTTTTCTGAAATATATGCATGCATGTGTGTGTATTTATATATGCTTAGTAAATATACACAGCACACACACATATATAATGTAAACAACATTTTTATTTTGGATGCGATTAATCGTGATTAATCGTGTGACAGCACACACTTAAAAAAAACACATATATATATATATGCATATACTGTATGTTGTGGGAACTGATAGTTATTAATCAGTCTATTATTCCTGGTCTGTCTCTAATTCAAACCCTGCATTGCGTTTACTAACAATCCTGCAGAGTCCCAAGACAAATATGACAGCAGAGACGTGGAGAGACTCTTCAGAGACGACGCTCTGGTCGAAGGCTACCTCGCATGGAGACACTTTGTTGTGGAGGACACCTTAAAGATGATCGACGAGAGCTTACAGTGGAGGAAAGAGTTCACACTGAATGGTATGCGGGCTTGATGCTTGTGCTTGTTCCCAGAAGAGGCTGAAATGAGGAAGTTACTCGCATGCATGTCGAGCTGCTGTATCATAGATCTCGTGAAAACATGTCTAGGTCACGTTTGCCGAAAAGAAAATGAAACTTATTTTAGGACTATTATTGGATTTTTTTTGTTTCCTCATTCATGCATGTGGACACATTTTTTAAAGTTTTATTTTTTTAAATAATTTTTAAAATAAAAAACAGTAAACATCTTTTTTCTCAACTATGTTCCTAATTAATGTAGTACATTTTTTACGTATTACAGTAAAAAAAAAAAAAAAAAATTACTTTTTAAATTTTATTTTTAAAATAATTGAAAAAAAATCAAGATTATTCTGAGTTGTAATTTTTATGACTGTTGAACAATTTTTACCATATTACAGTAAAACGTAAAAAAAACAATTAAAACAAAATCACCATTATTTTCAACTGTAATTGCCATTACTTGAGTTAATTTTTTTTGCCATATTACAATAAAAATTTTAACATTTACATTTTATTTTAAAATAGAAAAATCACCATTCTCAACTGATTTTATCACTGTAGTACTTTTTAAAAAAAAAACACATTACAGTAAAATTATTGTAATTAAAAAATTTTTTTTTTACATTTTTATTTAAAAAAAATCACTATTATTCTCAATTGTGATTTTCATTACCGTAGTACAATTTTACCATATTACAATAAAATGGTAACATTTATTTTAAAACAAAAAAAATCATCATTATTTTCAACTGTGATTTTTATCACTGCAGTACAATTTTTTTTTACCATATTACAGTAAAATTATTGTAATTTTACATTTTATTTTTAAAAAAGCTATAAAAAACAACACTATTCTCAATTGTGATTTTCATTACCGTAGTACAATTTTTACCATATTACAGTAAAAATTAACTTTTTGAAAAAAATTAAATTTTTTTAATAATTTTTAAAATAAAGAAAAATCACCATTATTCTCAATTGTGATTCTCATTACTATGATGCATTTTTACTGTATTACAGTAAAACATGTAATTTTAATTAAATACATTTAAAATTAAAATTTAGTAAAAAAAAATTACCGCATTGCAGTAAAAAAATATTGTATGTATTAAATGTATTCAAATCAGCATAAAATGTATTTTTGAATTATGACACTTGACAAATTCACCTTTTTAAATGATTAGAAGATGCAGTTAACTATTAAAGTTGTTAAGTACTGAAGCTGTAATTATTTAGTCCTGTGTGTTTATATTTATTATTTAATATATATATATATATATATATATATTGGATCCCAGCATGGTCATGAGTGCTTCACGGATAAATAGTGCATAATTTCTATGTGCTCCATCTGTGTTTCACAGTTATAAAGATTTAAAGCTGTCATTGACTGACCAACAGATCGTAGCGGTTTATAAGTGTTGACAATGCTATGTAATCAACGGCTGATATTGTATGATAATAGAAATGTCAAACTGTGATTCTCCTGTGCAAGTTATACTGAAAATAATTAAATGAAAGGCAGTTCGTCTCTTTAGGATGCATTTTATTCACTGGGTTGATTATAAATATGTAATATTACATTTTATGTATATTAATATTAAATTAACCATTTTAAATGTATATTATTTAATTGTATATGTAAATAGTTAAATATTTTATATAACATTTTAATACCAATATATATATATATACACACACAGTTGTGCTCATAAGTTTACACACCCCTTGCAGAATGTGCAAAATGTTAATAATTAAAACAGATTAAGAGGGATCATGAAAATTGCATGTGATTTTTTTTATTTTATTTAGTACTGTACTGAATATGCTATTTCACATAACAGATGTTTACATGTACTCCACAGGACAAAATAACTGAATTTATAAAAATGACCTCATTCAAAAGTTTACATACCCTTGAATCTTAATACTGCATGTCGTTTCCTGGATGATCCACGACTGTTTTTATATTTTGTGAAAGTTGTTCATGAGTCCCTCGTTGGTCCTGAGCAGTTCAACTGCCTGCCGTTCTTCAGAAAAACCCTCCAGCTCCTGCACAAACTTTGGTTTTCCAGCATCTTCTGCATATTTGAACCCTTTCCAACATTGACTATGTTTTTGAAATCCATATTTTCACACTGAGGACAATTGAGGGACTCATGCATAACTATTACAAAAGGTGAAAACATTTACAGATGCTCAAGAAAGAAAAACAGTGCATTAAGAGCCTGGGGGGGGGGTAAACTTTTAAATTAGATGATCAGGGTAAATACTTATTTCGTCTTCTGGGAAACATGTAAGTATGTATGTAGCTAACATGTAAGTATGTATGTAGCTTCTAGCTTCCAGTACTAAATGAAAAAATATGATCGTTAATTAAAATGAGAAGAATTTACACATCATCATCATCATCATCATCCTGTTCAAAAGTTTACCCCCCCCCCCCTCCCCCCAGCTCAGCTCTCAATGCATTATGTCGCGTTCTTGAGCATCAGTAAATGTTTTCACCTTTTGTAATAGTTATGCATGAGTCCCTCAATTGTCCTCAGTGTGAAAATATGGATTTCAAAAACATAGTCAATGTTGGAAAGGGTTCAAATATGCAGAAGATGCTGGAAAACCAAAGTTTGTGCAGGAGCTGGAGGGTTTTTCTGAAGAACGGCAGGCAGTTGAACTGCTCAGGACCAACGAGGGACTCGTGAACCACTATCACAAAATATAAAAACAGTTGTGGATCATCCTGGAAACGACAAATAGTATTAATATTCATGTAACAGGCATGTAAACTTTTGAATGAGGTCATTTTTATAAATTCAGTTATTATTTTGTCTTGTGGAGAATATATTGGAACTATTATATTTGAAACTATTTGTCACATAAGCATACAAAATATTTGATTTACCGGTACTTGCTTTATTAAATTGTCTGGTAAGATTTCTTATATTCATGTAACAGGCATGTAAACTTTTGAATGAGGTCATTTTTATAAATTCAGTTATTATTTTGTCCTGTGGAGTATATGTAAACATCTGTTGTGTGAAATAGCATATTCAGTACAGTACTAAATAAACAATAACATAAATATGCATATAAATATATTGTGTGTGTGTATATATATATATTAGTATAAACATTTATACGCAAAACATTTCAATACAATATATAAATAATATCTATACATGCATACATACATACCATACACACACACACATATATATATATATATATATATTTATTTATTTATTTGTCCATTAGTTTTAGTATTTTTCAAGGTCACCACAGTACATTTGTTCTGATTAGTCTTGGGCTGTTATTGACCCTCTGGCAGACATTTTAGGGTCATTAGCTGTATGAGTCGAAGATGCAGAGGGACAGACGCCGCTCACTGGTTTAAGACTTTGCAGATTTACGTGACCTTTAAATCCCTTTGGTCAATCCAACTCGCTCACTTAATCCGAGAGAATTTCCCGTCAAACTGCAAATCTCCTCGTCTCATGTTTCTGCAGCAGAAATGCGGGAGTGGAAGACCAAAGCCGCAGCCTAATCAAACCTAATGCCAGTTTTATATGGAGGAATTAGAGTGTGCTTTAATTTGCTCTCTTTAATGCTTATCTTATGTGACTGTAAATTGGTTGTTGGGTTTATAAAATGAAGGACTGTCATGTGATGTGTCTTTACTGTGGAGATGTGCTTTGAGCTGATATATTTGAATTTAAATGGAATGTTTTTTAGGTTTAATCATTTGATTTCTGTGTATCAGTTAACGTAGGTTCTTTCCCTTAGTGTAAAGTTGTATTTTATAAATAATTTTTTGGTTTTTTATTGATCTTTTATGTTGTATACGTAGTGATTTATTAGGAGCCAAGCAGTGACTGTCATGTTGAAATCCCAACAATTGTTTGGAGGAACTTTGTGAAATTTGGCACATTTATTGCAAAGGGTCTAAACATCAATTGCACCAATTTAAAGATCTCTACCTTAAAACCCTCTAGCGCCACCATCAGCTCAAAACATGACTCTGTAACTCTAGAAAATCATATCTGATTTTATGGGTTAAAGTGCAAATACATTTCACTTTATTAATGATTCTTGGGGAATTTCTTCAGATAAAAACATTAAAAAGTAGTTTGTTCTCCTCCAATTACAACAGTGACCATGTCAAGATTCTAGGTTTTCAAATAAATATTCCATATAAAAACTCTTATTGTTTTCTTGTAACAAACTTTCATTGAAAAGTACTTTTGTGGCTCCCAGGAGTCCATCTGTAGAGCAAATGTAAGTGTCAACAGTAAATGAAGCTAAAGGTTACTCGGGCGTTCAGTAAACATCAGAATTGCACAATTAAATGATTAACCGGTTGTAGTACAGTCTAGTAGTGTTCAGGCTGATCAGTATGTGTGTGTTCAGTATTCAGTGCTGGCTCAGCAAGTCTTGTGTACTGTTAAATTTGACACCCATTGGTGAGCTTTAACAGTTAGCTAGCCAATGGATTAACAGCAGCTTTACAGATGAACTTGAGGCAGTGGTTTAGTCTTGAAGTGGGTCAGTAAATAAACACTCTCACTGACATACATTCAAATATTCAACTAAACTAAAACTACTTTTTTGTCTATGTCTATTTTGTGTAATCCAAGCGAATACAATGCTATACAAATGAAAAGCCTTTAAGTTATTTTATTTAGAACTTAAATTAACCCCAAAAAATCCATGTTTTTTGTTGCAGTCCTTTTTGATTTCACATGTAAATAACAAAGCAGTCTTGCCAACTACTAGCCAGGCAAATATTGTATATTTACTGTGGTATAAATGGTATAGCAAAATCTCTTAATAGCTGATGTTTTTACTGTCACGCAGTATATACAGTGGGTACGGAAAGTATTCAGACCCCCTTAAATTTTTCAGTCTTTGTTATATTGCAGCCATTTGCTAAAATCATTTAAGTAAATTTTTTTTCCTCATTAATGTACACACAACACCCCATATTGACAGAAAAACACAGAATTGTTGACATTTTTGCAGATTTAATAAAAAAGAAAAACTGAAATATCACATGGTCCTAAGTATTCAGACCCTTTGCTCAGTATTTAGTAGAAGCACCCTTTTGATCTAATACAGCCATGAGTCTTTTTGGGAAAGATGCAACAAGTTTTTCACACCTGGACTTGGGGATCCTCTGCCATTCCTCCTTGCAGAGCCTCTCCAGTTCTGGCAGGTTGGATGGTAAACGTTGATCATCCCGCTTTATGAGTTATAGCAACTTAGATTTCTTTCCCATGTTTTTTCTCTTCTAGGACATGGACTTTGTGAAGTATATTATTAACTGCTTCAAAGTGTACTATCCAAAGTTTCTTTGTGAGTATATTCTGTTTTTTAAACCTCCTATTATAGCAGGGTTTGTCAAACTGGGTCGATGAAAAGTTAAGGGATTTCACATCTTTGTTTAAACATCTTTGTTTTGTTGTTCAGCCAAAATGATCATGTACGAGATGCCTTGGATCATGAATGGTGAGTTGTGCTTGGCTCATGAGAAGTCTAAACAGATCTTTGGAATGATGTCTGGTCCAGCAGTTCATTTGTCATAACCTTTTCTTGTGTGTGGCAGCTGCCTGGAAGATAGTGAAGACGTGGCTGGGCCCCGAAGCCATCAGTAAGCTCAAGTTTGTCACCAAGAGTGACATCCAGACGTATGTCGGCCCCGAGCACCTTCCTCCACACATGGGAGGAACGGTACGAACAAATAAGAGAGTTACTTGTTTTTAATTAAATATGGCTTGGAGTTTAAATAAGATAAATTAAATAGATGTACTTTGATCAGATATATTTAAACTAAAATGGAATGGAAGTTTAATCATTTGATTTCTGTTAAGTTAAGAGAGGTTCTTTGCCTTAAAGTGTAAAATTCTATTTTAAAGGGATAGTTCACACAAAAATTCTAATTAAATATGGCTTGGAGTTTAAATAAGATAAATTAAATAGATGTACTTTGATCAGATATATTTAAACTAAAATGGAATGGAAGTTTAATCATTTGATTTCTGTTAAGTTAAGAGAGGTTCTTTGCCTTAAAGTGTAAAATTCTATTTTAAAGGGATAGTTCACACAAAAATTCCGTCATTAATTACTCACCCTCATGTCGTTCCAAACCCGTAAGACCTTCGTTCATCTTCGGAACACAAATTAAGATCTTTTTGATTAAATCTGAGAGCTGTCTGACCCTCCCATAGACAGCAAGGATACTACCACGATCACTGGTGTCAAAAGTATTCACATTCATTACTCAGGTAGAAGTATAGATACTAGGGTTTAAAAAGACTTCTGTAGAAGTTGAAGTATCAACTCAAGCTTTTTACTCAAGTAAAAGTGCAAAAGTACTGGTTTCAAAACTACTTAAAGTATAAAAGTAAAAGTAATGTAAGGAAAAAAATGCCATTAAGGACAAAAGCTTAGGCCGCGCCACAGGGGCCTATTGTGCACTACCCCACCTCCTCAAAAAAACATTTTTCTAAAGGCCATAATGACTATGTTATTATATTAAAATGTTAATGTTGAAAAATGTGGGATGCACTAGGCTACCTGTTTCAGCCGCATATATGCCCATTGAAAATGAACGCATTTTAGTACAAAGCAAATACATTAAAGAACCATATATGTGTACTACTGAGCATTAAAATGTGTTTCATGGAGCGGAAGATATGATGACTAGTTGCTTATAAGTATTGTAATGGTGCAAAAAGTCAAACTTCAGAGGCATGTCATCAATAACCTTTATTGGAATGTAAATGTACATCCAAGCTTAGCTGCAGGAATCTGTGAGGGCAACGGACAAGAAAACTGGTGTACCCAGGGCAGGCTTAGTAACAATTACCCTTGTATGGTTGTCTATATACAATAAACATTAGTGCTGTCAAAATGAATGATTAATCCAAGTGATTAATCAACAAATAAAAATTAAAAATAACTCATAATCCTGCTACCTTCCTCTAATGGCAACAATGTCACATTTAACTAGAAGATGCGTTGTCAATCGCAAACGCTAATTTATTCAAACGTCTCTCTGCCGAACTACCGACTGTAGTTTAATTTGCGGAGGATGAAGAGAAAGCACCCGTTTGATAAATGAGCCAGTAGTGGCGAAATTATAACTTTTAAGAAATAATCTTTTTTGAGTAACGACCCCAACACTGGCTATGTCCTTGCTGGAGTGTGAGGTGATTTGTGTCATGTGCAGGTGCGATGGATCGCGTACAAACCAATAGGGTGTCGGAATGGTATATGTTTATACTTCTCATCCAACCACAGTCAAATTCACTCTATCCGGATGGCGCGATTTATCTGGATAGGTTTTTTTTAACGATGACAAGCCGGAATGAAATCGGAGTAACGAGGGTATTTTTAAAATGTAAGGAGTAGAAAGTACAGATAATTGCGTGAAAATGTAAGGAGTAGAAGTAAAAAGTCGGCTGAAAAATAATTACTCCAATAAAGTATAGATACCCAAAATTTCTACTTAAGTAAGGTAAAGAAGTATTTGTACTTCGTTACTTGACACCTCTGACCACGATCGACACATAGAAACATAGGTTAAAATAGTCCATGTGACATCAGGGGTTCAACCGTAATTTTACGAAGCTACAAGAATACTTTTTGCGCGCAAAGAAAATAATTTATTCAGCAGTTCTTCTTCCAGAGTTACAGTCTTCTGCCATTTTGGAGAGTAACCCAGAATGTAATCAACATAATCAGTAGGGATGTAACGATGAACCGTGAGCCGGTTGAAAATCGATTAAATTTGTGACGAATCAAATCGGTTGAGATGCTAAACAAATCGCGATACAATTGGGGGTGGGAGAATGTATCTCTGAGGGGAACTGACTCTTTAGAAAAGTTTAGATTACATTTTATTTTCAACTTGCCTCTGAACGATGCATATTAAAGTATAAGAGAGCAGCTCTGCTTTGTTTACAGCGGTAACCAAAGAAGCACTATATCATTGCTGTTCATAAGCGCCACCTGCTGGCAGAGAGTGAATCTGCATCTCATTCAGCTCGCCTGCTGTTTCCTTCAGATGTTTTTTTTTTTAATGTAGTATAGTTTAACAAAACTGAAGTCAGACCATTCTGTTTTTGCTTCAAATTTCGAAATTATACAATCTAATTTAGATTAAAAACTGCTCATGCTGCATCTTAGTTTGGATCATGATTAAAATGTAGTGGTTGCCTCTCATTTTAAATGGAAAGAGCACATACTTTTATTTGTGTAACTTATTTATTTGATTTGGGGTTTGTTTTAAAATTTCTATTTAGTTTTGCTATATTTCAATTTCACAAAGAAGCATGCAGCAATAGCCTAATAAAAGGACACCTTTTCATTTACTGTATAATGTGTCTTCAATCTCATTTTGTAAAAAAAAGAAAAATTGAGAAAATCGAATCGTGAAATCAAAATCATGAATCGAATCGTGAGTTGATTGAATCGTTACATCCCTAGTAATCAGCGTTGTTTACGTTAAGTAGAAAGCGTGCGCATGCGGAACGTAAACAATGCTGATTACGTTCTGGGAGACTGTCCAAAATGGCGGAAGACGGTAATTCGGGGAGAAGAATTGGTGAATAAATTGTTATTATTGTTTTCTTTGCGCCCAAAAAGTATTCTCGCTGCTTTGTAAAATTACGTTTGAACCCCTGATGTCACATGGACTACTTTACCGATGTCCTTGCTACGTTTCTGTGCGTTGATCGTGGTAGTATCTCGATTTCTTTGAGCTTTATGTTGCATCATCAGCAATATATATTGTATTGAAACCCAAAAACTATTTGGAAGAACATCATGTAATTTGGCACATGTATTGCAAAGGGTCTGAGCATTAGTCTCTCTAACTTTAGGGTCTCTGCCTAAAATCCTCTAGCACCACCATCAGTTCAAAGTATAGCTTTTTGTATGATTGTAACTGCAAAATTGATTGTGAATTTTGCTTTGTCTAATGTTGAAACACCAAGAACCGTGTGGAGAAATGGTGTGAAATTTGGCACATTTATTGCTAAGTGTCTAACCATTAATTGCACCAACTTTAGGGTATCTGCCTAAAACCCTCTAGCGCCACCATCAGCTCAAAATAAGACTTTGTATGATTGTAACTTTTGAATCTAGAAACATAAATCTTGCCTGGCAACACAAACCTGACTTAGTATCTCACTGCATGTGATGTTGATGCTATGGGTTAAACGGCTTATTGTGCTTAGTTGTGCTATATATTTCAATGTAATTCAGATTTTTGGGAAATTACTCCAGTTTGTTCTCCTAATTACAACAGTGACCATGTCAAGATTCTCATTTTTCAAATAATAAATGTAATACAGAACAAAAATATAATAAATTGCAGGATTGCAAAGATTTGTTCATATTCTTTTGTTTTTTTGTGACAGGACCAATTCAAATACAGCTATCCGCCTCTCCCGGACGATGACTTCCAGTCTCCAATCTGTGAAAACGGTCCAATCGTCAGCGAAGATGAGAGTGACATCAAGGATATTGAATCCGAGTCCAAAGAGACTCTCGAGTCCAGTTTCAATTCTGAGCAATCAATCAAACCCAAGAAGGTATACCACATTTCTTCTTGTTCATACACTGCGTTCGGTCTAATCTACGTTTCCTTGTTCACAAATCCAGGTCACGTTTCCCCAAAAATCAAAAGAAATTATATTTTGCTAAATCTTTAACAATGCATTTGTAATTGCAAAAATATGAATGATCCTGGAAAGTCTTAATTTTCCCTATGCAAAATATTTTCTTTCTTTTGATTTTGAAATGTGACCCGGACATATTTTTGCGAGATTAACTCCTCTACACCTGTAACTCGAGTTACTGCTCATTCTTGGTTTCCAACAATGATTATTTTCTTACTTTGGAATCAGTGCATTTTGTGAATAATTATAGTACTTTTGACTATGCATTTGAGCTTCTGAATCAATATTCTTTGACCATAATGATTTGAAATCAAAGCATGCTGATGCTGCACCTCAAAGCTTTTGCTGTAGTGACATGGCCGAGACTTTGTACTGAAGCTCCTCTTTCCCTGTGATCTCTCTTGCTCTCTTTTGGCCTCTTTATTAGTGAGATGATAATCATTATGTGATCAGAGTAACGTCAGGTGAGTAGAGTTCTAGCAAAGACTAGAGCTGGACGATAGTTCTAGAAGAAAAATAGAAAAACTATCTTTGATGATAAATGTACAATGGTAAACAACAGTATTTACCCATGTTTACTAAAACATGAACAATGACAGAGTTCAGTGAACATTTCTGAATGATGATGCAAAGGAATCATTTCATATATTTAACGGATTCACTGAAGCAGACAGTTTGAACTGATTCACAGAAATGACTCAAACTTGCCAGCACAACTTTTCTACTGAACTTGAAATGAGAGACGCTATTAAAACTAAATCGGTCTGAACACTTTCATACACTGAACATTTTGAATATTCATTTTGTAAATACTTCATTTAATTAAACGTGAATTTTTCTTTTAGTAGAAAGAATGAAATGTAATGCTAAAATTCAAATCACCACAATATTCATAAAACTAAAACCATAAAATAATTTTTTTATTACTTAAAATAAAATAAACATTAAGAGAAATTAAATAAAATATAAAAACCGTAAAATATATTTTATTTCAGCTAGTTTCCAAGGCAACATTTCTCATTTTCTGTTAGTGTAACAATGCAATAAAATAAATAACTACAACTAAAACTAAAATAATAAACATCCGTTTGAACACTTTCGTACACTGAACATTTGATGTAAGATTTATTTTGTAATTATTTGTGAAAATTGTTTTAAAGAAATAGTAGCATATTTAATTAAATGTGAAATTTTAAATGCAAAGACTCAAATAGTTGAGTGTTTTTTAATTGTTACTTACAAAAAAATAATTTTATTATTATATATATATATATATATATATATACATGTATGTGTTTTATTTCAGCTAGTTTCCAAGGCAGCATTTCTCATTTTCATTTAGTTTAACTTGGATTAACCTGCATTGTGCTGTTAAGGGTCATTGTCTCTCTCATCTCTGATCTCATCAACTAATCAGTTGTCTCACAGTGTTTGTGTTGATTGATGTTAGACGCGCTAATTATAATGAACTCATGAGCGTCTCATGGTTCGCTCTGATTCATCATGTGACTCTCAAACGCTCCGCATGATGATTAGGCATGAGACGAAGCGCTTGAAGGCTTTCATTTGGGATCCAGAGATCCTTTTCCAATGTGCGGTCGCCATCGAGCGCATCAGTCGAGTTGAGTAAAAATCCCATTCATTCTCTACAGAGCAAACTGATTCAAATCAGAGTTTTAAATGCGATTCATCTGGTTGATTTGATTCGTGGTTTTACTGAAGAATCTTCTATGGAGAAAATGAATGGGAGAAACTCACAGCTGTGCTCGCTGTTCTTCGTGCATGTTTTTCTCATGTCCCTCTCTGTCTGTCTTAAAACAAGGACTGGTAAGACATTGTAGATGCTTCTACAACCTCAAGTGCCTGCGGTTTCCAGAGCCAAACCAGATTCATCCCATGCGTCCATCCCATTTCAACAGCACCGAACGAGACGCTTCATCTACTTTTCCCAGTTTCAGTGGCATTTCATATGATTTTAATGCATATTTGATTGATATTTTTAACAAATCACCGTCTGGTTACGGGGTGTATTAGATCTGATCAATCAAAGACGTTATATTAGCAGTTTTATTTGATTATTATCGTTGTGTTGTTATTGTGTCAAACTCCTCAGGGCTCTTGCACACTAGAGAACACTGTTGTTGGGAATCTAGAACCGGTTCTTGAGCGTCTGCATTCCTCCAGTATGTTCAGATAAACCGTACAAAAACACTGAGTGTTTCCTGCACCGCTATCGAATCAAAAGAAACTATTTTATCTGAGATTTGAGTCTGAATGAACCCTCATGTTGGGTCATTTTGACCTGGACAGGATTTTCTTTTTCCTGAAAATGCTAGTTAATATTATTGCATCGGACTGAAACTTACTGACTTTGCTTGCACAGGGTAAAACAACTTTGCCCAAAATATTTGATGCTTTAACTTTTTTTTTGAGATTTTTCCCACCTTGTTACACGTTTGGTGTTTCCTGGTCGAAAAGGATCGGCCTACAAATAATTGATTATAAATCTATCATTATGGTAATGGAGGTCAACCGATAGTGGATTTTGCCGATACCGATAGCTAGGTTGGACCACACTGGCCGATACAGATTAATTAACCGATAGTTTTAAAATTGATACTGAACAAAAACTAAAATAGTGCTTTATTAACAAAAACAGTACTGAACCATACTAGTAGTAGTAATAATAATAGTAATAGTAAATGTTGAAATTAACACACTCTAACAAGGAACAATACTTACACAGCTTTTATCGGTGTATTTATTTTATTATTAATCTTAATGCTACAAATGTACTCTTATTTTAAAATGTTACCATTTCATTTCAACAGTCATGCTTAAAGATGCTCATCTTTAAATATATACACAAAGGCTATAGAATTAAAATGATATACATATGGATATTGTATGTATACTCTCACACTTTAACTGCTTCTATTCTTGAACACTTGATGGTTATCTAATCAAAATAAAAGCGCAGCGCTGAGTCTAGGAGAACTCACCGGTATCACACACACTCCGGACACGTCGTGTTCAACTCCAGCAGCGGTCTAAAACAGTTTATTTAATCACCAAACGGACACAAGTTTACTTCAAGAATGAACAATTTGCCATGGATGAGTTTAAAGTTCGGTGTTTAAAAAACGAAGCAAACGGAAAGAGAAAGCGCGACCTATATTATAGCTCACAGACTTTATTAGAGCCACAGAAAGACAAACGTTTTGCTGAAAATACACAATTCACTATGTACATTAACAACGATTCGGGACCAATATAATGTAATTTAAAGGAAAACTATGTGAATGGCGCTCTGTGGCGCGGCAGGATTTTCTGTCGGCTGCATTTAAATCCTCGTCTGAAGTTTTCCGCTCTGTTCAGCGAGCAGTATCAAGTGTCTAAACAAATAGCACGTGCTGTCAGTGATTTCAACCACTAGAGGCCGCTCTCGCACTGTGTAATGACAGCAGACCCTTCTCAGCCACTCCAGCAATGGACGCAACCCGGAAAACTATCGGCATGGATTATTGCCGATAACCGATAGTTCCAGCAATCAACTATCGGTGCCGATTAATCGGTCGACCTCTATAAATTATCACCGAATATGTGACCCTGGACCACAATTTTTTAAAATTGAGGTTTATGCATCAGCTGAAAGCCGAATAAATAAGCTTTCAATTGATGTCTGGTTTGTTAGGATCGGACAATATTTGGCTGAGATACAACTATTTGAAAATCTGGAATCTGAGGGTGCAAAAAAATCAAAATATTGAGAAAATCATCTTTAAAGTTGTTCAAATGAAGTTCTTAGCAATGCATATTACTAATCAAACATTAAGTTTTGATATATTTACGGTAGGAAATTTACAAAATATCTTCATGGAACATGATCTTTACTTAATATCCTAATGATTTTTGGCAATTGCTACAAATATACCCCAGCGACTTAAGACTGCTTTAGTGCTCCAGGCTCACATAATGTATTCAATCTTTTTATCAACTTGTTTTCTTTCAATTAGCACAGGTTGTGTGTTTCTTTTTGGCACTTATTGATCGTAGGCCTCACTGATCTGAACTCCTGCTTCTCCATTTTTGAGCCAAAATAATCCACAAATAAGGTTTTTTCACTCTAAAACGGAGGTGCATAAACTCAGATTAATAAGATTTATAATAAGTCAGTTCTGAAATCCAAAACGTGTGCTATTCAAAAGATAAAAAGATTGAATCCAATATTTTGTTATACAATATCGGAACACAAAAGAACTTTCTGTTGTTATTGTTCATATAATGAAAGCAAATGTTGTGTAGACCTCAAGAGGTCTTCAAAATATGTGTTTAAAAGAAGAGAGAGTCATACAGGTTTGGAACGATATGAGGGTGAGTAAATGACAATTTAAATTTTTGGATGAATGATCATTTTAAGGCTTGAGAGACTAAGACAGTGTAGTTACTTATTGTTCATAACAGTGTGTAGGTAAAGATACACAAAGCAAAGATTTGATTTCACGAGTTGTACGTCAGTTCAAAAGTGCTAAAATAATTAATATAAGGATGAGTGTGTTTCTTCATCAGATTTGGAGAAATGTAGCATTGCATCAGTGTCTCTGCAGTGAATGGGTGCCGTCAGGTTTAAATTTTTGGATGAATGATCATTTTAAGGCTTGAGAGACTAAGACAGTGTAGTTTCTTATTGTTCGTAACAGTGCATGTAGTTAAAGATACACAAAGCAAAGATTTGATTTCACGAGTTGTACGTCAGTTCAAAAGTGCTAAAATAATTAATATAAGGTTAATTTTATCAGCTGTTTGGACTCTCATTCTGACGGCACCCATTCACTGCAGAGCATCCATTGCTGAGACACTGATGCAATGCTGCATTTCTCCAAACCTGATGAAGAAGCAAACTCATCCTGATCTTGGATGGCCTGAGAGTGAGCACAATTTCAACTAATTTTCATTTTTAGGTGAGCTATTCCTTTAAAGAGCCATAATTGGTCAATTGAATCCATTGATTCCAAGGCAGTGAAGAAGATACGCTGGGGTTTGCATGACTTTTAACTCTTGCTACAACATACACCAAGCAATGCGTTCAGAAATGCGGTTGGTTTCAGGCTGATCCAGTTTGATGTAATGCACAATCTGAGCTACTTCTTCTTCTTCTTCTTCTAGTGCTGAGAGTGAACACATTTTTCATTTTTAGGTGAGCTATTCCTTTAAAGAGCCATAATTGGTCAATTGAATCCATTGATTCCAAGGCAGTGAAGAAGATACGCTGGGGTTTGCATGACTTTTAACTCTTGCTACAACATACACCAAGCAATGCGTTCAGAAATGCGGTTGGTTTCAGGCTGATCCAGTTTGATGTAATGCACAATCTGAGCTACTTCTTCTTCTTCTTCTTCTAGTGTGTAGGAGTCCTGAGAGCGTACAGAGGAACTAATGTAGACCACTGTCATATGATCAGCATTATGACATTTTCAATAACTCTCTGAAATTGTGAGTTGTTTATATAGACCCACTATTGAAGCGTTTCGGTTTTGCTCTAACACTCCACCAAAATGAAGTTTTTCCACATTTACATTTCATAAACAAGTTTGTCTTATCTGATTTTGAAAAAGAAAAACAGTGTTTGTTCTGATCACCAGTGATTTTTTCTGATCAGTGCTGTGATTCATTACTGTATGCTTGTCAAAGATGGATAGATATAATGCAATGTCAATCGTTTCATCACTAATGATCAATTAACTAATGAATAGACACTAATGATTGACTGACATACTGTAAAATGTAATCGTATGTGAAGAACATTTCATGTAATCTGGTTCAAAACTGTGATTTTTCAGCTGTTTAATTGACATTTTCAATCGAACTCTGAATAAAGTCCAGAACATTTCAAATCGAGCCTGCCTCTTTAATTAATGAACACATTATAAGGCCGTTTCTGTCGATTGTAAGGACGCCGTGACCTTTGACCTTGACCCCTGACCCACATCCTCTCCCTCTTTTTTCCAGCACGTGCTCGGTTGCGCCAGAGTTTCGCTTCAACTTTGTTTCCACTTCCGCAGCACGAGCACAAAGAAAGCGTGTGTTCAGCAGTTTTCGTTTCGTTTCCACGTGTGTTTTGGCGGTTTGCGACTGAATAAAGTGTGTGAAAGTTCCTGCGATGGTCAAAATGGGAAATCACAACCTGATGTTTATCAGTGTGTTTATTCACGTGTTCACATTGACTCTTTGTTCTGATTTTCTTCCCCATTTTTGATGCCATTGATCCCATTGGTTGCTGCTAATTCATATATAGTTGAGGCCTGCTTGACTTTGTTGCATTTCAGTCACCATAAAATAGCCAATTCTCATTGAAAACAAACCAAGCCCAGTTGCTTTTTTGGTTTTATCATCTTCAAAAACCCCGTTACAGTTCTTCTTCTGTTCTTTATTGCAATTTAATTTATCATAGAAGTTGTTAATCTTTAAATATGTTATTTTTGTGCTGCAAACGTTCATGCAACGTTCTTTCTATGCCGTGTGGCATCAGCTCGTCTATATTGGAACATTTGAACTGGTTCATAAACACAGAATGATGCCTCGTGTTGTACTTTCCCATTTTTTGCAATCATTTGTCATACAGGTTGTTAATCTTAAAAATCTAAATTTTTATGTGCAGCCACGTTCACGCAACTTTCTTTCTACGCTGCATTTATCAGTTCGTTGATTTTGGAGCATTTAAATGGGTTCGTGTGCACATAATCAGACCTGATGTTGTGCTCTCCTGTTTGTCAATCTGAAAAATCTCCTTTTTTGAGCAGCGATGTTTATGCAGCATTCACGCGACGTTCGTTCAATGCTTTATGGTATTAGTTTATCAATATTGGAGCAGTCGAGCAGGTTCATTAGCACAAAATTAGACCTCATGTAGTGCATTTCTATTTACTGCAATTAATTTGTCGTACAGGTTATTACTCTTAATTTCATACAAAGTTCATGCAACGCTCTTGTGGTATTTGTGTCGATATTTTATCATTTGAACCGGTTCGGGAGCACAAAATCAGACCTGATGGCGTGCTTTCCTATTTATTGCATTTTTTATCATGCATGTTGTTCATCTTAAAATATGTACATTTTTGTGCAGCAACGTTCATGCATTCAGTCTACCCTGCATGTATCAGTTTGTTGATATTGGAGCATTTGAAAGGGATTGTGAGCACAAAATCAGACCTGATGTCATGCTTTTCTGTTGCAAAAGTGCCATCGTGATGTTCTGTGATGTGTTTTGCAGGTGAATTTCCTTGAAGACGGTCAGAAGTCTGAAGATCTGGACAGAGGAGATCCTGGACGACTGAGAGGAGCTAGAAAACCTACCACCACATTCATGGGCACATTACTGCACATCAGGTAAATCAGTGCACTCGTGTTTGATGGACTCAATCTAGTTCAAAAGGCACACACGCTTTTTTCACACTTTTTCGCTAAAGGAAGTATCATACTAAATTGCTTTCAATTACATGCACCAATATACTAATGCACAGTCATAAACTAAAATTCAGATACTAACTATATATGAAAAATCATGCATGGAGACTTCAGTGAGCATTTCTAAATGATGTTGAATCATTGAATCAGAGTTTTGAATTGATTCAGTGAGTCTGACAGTTTGAACCGATTCACAGAAATGAATCAAACTATGAGAAACTATTAAATCATCTCTGAACATTAAAGGTCCCATATTGTACACCTTTCTGGAGTTTTATTTGAGGTTTTGATGTCCTTAAGAATATATAGTTGTGGTATAAATGCCAAAAACCATCTCAATATATTTTTACAGCTTCTCTCTCAGGAGCTCTGCTGAGAACAGGTGGGACAAATATATAGCAACTTCTTGGACAAACCTTATCTAAGTTCTCATCTTGCCCAAAGATCTTTATATAGATCAGTGAATTTGCCATTGTGATGTCATCTAGTGACATTTAACTACCAGTTTTAGCTACTTTAAATTGAAAGCAGTTGGCAACACTGCATAAGGAGCTTAAAATATCATCTTGTTGTGATGTTGGGTGTGAGAATCGACGTAATACAGCCTCAAATTAGAAATTTGATCGCATATCTGCTGCCACTGCCAGACAAAAAAAAAACGACTACAGCTGTGGTTAAACGCGATAAAACGAGCAGACTGGACAGAAAGGATCGTCAGAAATGCTTGTGTTTGCAGCGCACACTTCTTATCAGAAAAGGTTCAATAAAGTATTGTCTTTTGTTGTTATGGGCGATTTATTGCCATGTTTCTTGCATCTCACGACTATGTCGTGTCTGTGTGCATGTGTATAAAACAACAAACTGAAGATTTATATATAATCATTTGTAATTGGATACATTGTTGTGATTAATTGTGGCTGGAACAATAATGTAGCTGTAAAAATAGTTGCCTGCTGAAATTGAAATGTATATACATCTTCATCATGACTAGATAGACACGGTGAGTTTGTCTTTACTGTACACGTTAGATGTGATCCACCTTATAGTAACAATCCTGTCAGATCGTCCATCCTTTGAGTATAACGTGTAACATTACAGGTCGGCCGATCTGGTTTCGTGGTTAACGTGAACCTTTTCGACATATTTCCATGTTGTCCTTGCTCAGCAATGGCATGGACGCGATGTTGTCTGGGGTTTGGCAAAAGTAGAGTGGGATGGTGGGTGGTGCTCGGGGTGGTGACTGAAGGCGGTGACTGTGTAG